GCCTTTTGGTGCCAGCACCACTGGAGCAGTCTGCCGAAAGACTACCATTTTTCAAAAACTCAGGTGACTTCCATTTTTCCACATTTATAATGTCACAATGTTGAAAAAAATTATATTTCGTCTGTTTTTCTCCTTTTACGTTTTCATTTTTGCATGGCATCAGTGGGATAAGACATTTTTGGTAGGGTAATAAATGCCATATTTTATGGTATGTAGTAACGTAGCCTGATCTTTTTCTATGCTCCCCCACTGAAGGAGGCTCCAACAGCAAAGCTCTTTAGGATTAATGTTCATTCAGCATCAAAATAGTCCTAGTAGAAACCATGTCATAGGTTTGTGGTGTTACGGGGTACAAGCACACAGACAAAGTAGGGTGCCTGAGACTGCAGGCAATGAGTGAGGGGCTGATGTGGGGTTCCCCTCTGTATGTTGTGAATGTGTTCTAGTACCATTGGTTCATAAAGATGCCGCATCAATCTATGGCAGGTCAGAATATAGTCAGTACCATTGGTTCATAAAGATGCCGCATCAATCTATGGCAGGTCAGAATATAGATATATATATATGAGAGAGAGAGAGAGAGAGAGAGAGAGAGAGTAGGCAAAGTCAAGGAGATGCCAAGTAGCTGCCAAAGAAGACAGACACTGGAGAACCTTACCTGGTAAGCCATAGCCTCATGGTGATGCATAGATTAATAGAAATGGGTAAATTTAAGATGTAAGAGCTAGGTAGGAATACGCCTAAGCTGTTGGCCAAACAGTGATGTAATTAATATAGTTTCTGTGTGATTATTTGGGTCTGAGCAGTCGGGAAATGAGTGAGCAGCCTCCGCCTACAAGGGGGCATCCCCCACTGATGAAGGGTAGGCATGAGCTGACAGGAGCTATGAGAAATGAGAAGTCAGGTTTCTGAACTGGTCCCATAACCATCTCAATGTGTAGACTTTCCACAGATGCAGTGGATGTTGTGGGAGGCCAGGCCTTGAGGTGTTCACACATAGATGGCTTGATCTTGAGGGAGTCCTTGGGTCAGTCTAGCACACAGCTAGGGTTAAGACTAACTTTAGACCAAATGCTTTTGCTGTTTTGGGTGGTATAAAGTGCTTTTATTTATTTTTTTTTGTAAATTTTAAAGTGCTTTTATTTTTATTTTTTCCCGACATAATATTTTTATTATTTGGGAATTTCATCCAGTGTACCTTGATCACACTCACTTCCCAGTCCTCTCAGGTTCACCTCCCACCTTTGTGTTTTCCCAAGGCATAAGAAAAGAAAAGAAAAGAAAAGAAAAGAAAAGAAAAGAAAAGAAAA